GGGGCATCATCAAGGAATCCGGGTGAAATCCGTTTCCCTGGTCTTCTATTGCGTGTACGCGGTTGTTTTGATTGTTGTTTCTTTGAAATCTGGTGTTATTTTGATTTCGATAGTTGGAATTCCTATTGTTGTTATTGTTTCTATTAAAATTGTTGTTATTGTAATTGGTATTGGGATTATTATTATTATTAGTTCTGTTAGAATTGTTGTTATTATTATAATTCCTGTTTTGGTTATTATATCCTTGGTTGTTTCTATCGGGATTGTTGTTATGATATTGATTTCTGTTGTTGTTAGTGTATGAGTTTCTGTTGTTGGTGTAGCGATTGTGTAAATCTTTCTTTTGGTAATTTATTCTCATTACCTGTGAGTTTATTTGATTTGCACTCTCATATTGTAGCGCAATATTAATTGCTTCTGAAAAGGTTTTTGGTTGGGCCGCAAAGATAGTGAGTTTAATATAGTCATCGAGACCGTTTTTGAATATGGTTAATGCATATGTATCGTTGATACTGGTAATGACGGATTTTTGTTCGTTAGTGGGGTTGGGGCCTAGTTCTTTAATTTGGAGGTTATTTAGATCTGCTATTATGTTCAGAATTTTGTCTTTGAAACCTGTGATTGTGCCTTTTTGTGTTGTTTGGCTTAAAAGTGAGTGTAGTTGTGGTATTGTTTGATTTGTTTTAAATTTATTTTCGAGTGTACTTTTTAGTTGTTGTAGTGTTGTTGGGATCTCATTTGCAAGGGCGGTTTGGACGTTTGAGGATAGTTTGCAATAAAAGATGTACTCTATTAATTGTGGTTTGGCTTCTTCTTTTAGGGTTCTCTTTATTATTTCAACAACTTTTAAGAAGCAGTTGATGTCTTTGTAGTTGCCAGTGAAAGTGGGTATGGATTTGGAAGCTATTTCTAAATTGAAATCCATTTTTGATTCTATTATATTCTCCGTTTTACTGGGTTTTATGTCTTCTAGTGATTCTTTGGTAGTTTCGATTTCTAACAATTCTTTTGCTGTGTTGTATTTTTTTTTAAATGCTTCTATTTTGCTCGCTAGGTTTGGTTGCCCAGGTTTAGTGCTAGCTTCTAATATGTTACGGACCCTGGTTCTATAATTTTCTAATTCTTCTAGTTTACTTTCGATTGTTTCCTTTTTGTATGTTGTACTTCCTAACTTTCTGAGGTTGGAAATTATTCTATCTATAGAGATATTAATCTCATCTATTCTTTCCATATGTATTTATATTTAAATGTATGTACTTTAATGTATTTCTTTTCTGGATTTCTTTTATTTTATGTTTGGTTACTTATTCTAATATTTTTTTTATTTTTTTTTTTATAAAATTGTTTTTGAATTTAAATTGGTAGGATTGTGTTAATGTAAAATTTCCTTTTGTGTGCTAAGAGGAGAAAAAACTTTTTTGTAATAATATTTTGTATTAGACGTTCAGTGTGTCGGTAGATTGTTTTGTGTACTTCTTTTTTAGTTGTTTTTTGTGTAATAGGTGTAGGGTCATTAAAAAGTGAGTTGCGCTTAAGATTATTGATATGGTTACTAAATATATAATAAATTGTAGTTGAGACGCATGGTCGTTTATTTCGACGTTATTAACGACATTAGCGTTGGGATTGTCGATTTTGGCTTTTTTGGCTCCCATTGCAATTGGAAATTTGCAGGAACGATTGTGCTGGGCGGGATCAGAGCTTGGTAGAATTGTATTGGAGAAAAATTTTCGCATCGGCGGTTGAAAACTGTATGGTGGCTTTAAAATTTTTGGTTGCCTTAGTAATTTTGGCTACCCTTCAAGGTTGGTCGCAAGATCGGTCGCAGGACTGTCATTGACCGAGGTAGGCATCATTATCGATGCAGTAATTTATGATTATGCTCCAATGAGGATCCAAAAAGAGTGTGTCGGGGTTGCGATCAATTGACACTTAGACAACATTGCCTTGCGATTTTACGACAATTACTTCTGAATTAATCGATGACAAACGAGGACGTCTTAAAGAAAATCAACTGGTTATTAGTTCAGCCATTAGCAACGAAAATTTGACGCATTGAGGTTGGGGAAATATTAAAACCTACAATGTCCGGAAAAATTTCCGAAACAGTGCCTTCTTGCAAGTCTAAAGCAGTGAAGCAATATTGTTAATCGGTCCATACTGCGTCTTTCCCTGCAGCCCTTTATCGAATTCAACAAAAGAACAAGTCAACTGCGCCAAAAAAAAGTAAACATTCCAATCCTCCTTCAAATTCTTCTGACGAGAAACGCAATTCCTAACTTCATTGAGGATCAATCATTTGCAGAAATGCGCTTAATGTACTAAATTGCGTAAGCACACGAAATATCATACATTTAGAATTAATCTTATCATAACAATAACAGACTTCAGGTGCTACGATGCTAAACAAAAAAATACTTTGAACGGTTTCATTAAAAAAATTTAAAAGAAGCCGTGGACATCAATTCGAAAATGAATTGGCGAAATGCAATTTTAAGACTTTCTTAAATACTGGCAACAGAAATGCGAAGGAGAAAAGATCAAGTTGTACCGCTGGGTTCTTTCCAGAAATTAAGTTTTATAGCTGCGTTATTCCACATTGTTACAAATTAAGTTCTACAGGCGAGTGATTTTCCACATACTTTACAAATTTTGCATGAATTTTTATTGGATACGAAATTCAAGTAAAAGCCGCCACTTTTAATTGCAAATAAGTATATAAATTGATGATGGACATGAAAATATCTTCTTGTTTCTCTTCTTGAAATCTCTATTGCTTAAAATATGCCCTTGAAGTTAGGCAGTTTCTATTTGTTTTTTAATTTCTTCTCTTTTCTTTTTTGGTTTTTAATAGTAAAGAAAATCAGCACTCTCGCATAATAATTTCTTATTTAAAACAGTAATATAATAATATTTAATAATATTTATAAGAGGTATATCACTGTTAATGATATAATTGATATAGTCTCCAATTAAAGAAGTATCAAGTTCAAGTAAAAGCTGCTTACTTTTAATTTTTAATATATTTATATAGTTTACGTAAAAAATTACATTCTTTTTTGCCAGCATTCACACATGTTGTTTGCATACTGGTATGATTAGTCCGTTGAGTGAAATTTCCTTAATATATTACATATATATTATCGTGTGGAACGGGATGCTATACTTCGCACTTCGATACAATATCAGTTAATACAATACCCTTGTGTTGAAAGTTGGAGATTATAAAATGGATTGCCTTTACAAAACATGAGGAAATTGCGTAAGCACACGAAATATCGTACATTTAGAATTAATCTCTTCTTAACAATAACAAACTTCAGGTGTTCATTAATTCATCGAACATTGTAAGTCAAATTAATCGAAAACGCGCAAATTTATGTTAATTTACCACTATCAATCAATAATATAAATGTTTTAATAGAAAAAAAAATTTGGAATATAACTTTAATAATATTCATACGTAATAAAAATTTAAACTAAAAATAATTTTAAGTATACACAATAAATAAAATCGCTGTAAAGCATATTATTTTAATATTTTAATATATTCAACTGAGCTGAAAATGGCTTTTTAAAAGAAAGAAAGTGTTGCTGGAATCTGTTGTGTGCACTATTTGGGCATTGCGATAAATTCTTTTGTACCACTTGTACGAATATATCGAAGAATTCACAGGAATTATTCAAAATTATGCGAAAATCGAACGGCAGGTCTTTAAAAATTTACTAAAACTAGTCAGCAGACGTTCAAGGGGAGATAAATGCTCTTTTTTTATACAATTATATATATAAGATTATAAATTAAATGACAATGATCTTATTTTATTGCACTTCAAATACCAGTATCACATCACAATATTTACTATTTATTTGAGTGATGGTATATTCCAAGAAAATAGTTTCGGGATATGATTATAATTCAAACGATTTAGAACATCTTTCCCTTCAACTGTCGCGTTTCCAAATAACAGAACACTTACTCCGAATATATTTTTAATTTTATCATTATCTACTACTCATTGACTAACGGAGGCTTAAATCAATCGTAAGTGTTCTTATATTTTCTCAGTTAATGCCAAATAATTATTTAACGCAAATATTGATTTAATAAAATGTCTATAACAGCTGATTCGACGAAGCATATGCAACAGCTGATCAGCGCACCAGTATTATAATTATTATTAAAGTTTGTCTTTATAAAAGACCAGACGATTTTTAACTGATATACTTTTTTTCACTGATGCAAAGCTTAAGTTAATAGAACAAGGAAATTAAAAAGTTATTTGAACCGAAATGTCTCCCAACAAGCAAATGACATATGACATTTTACATTAAAAACAGACTAATTGTGATATTGCATTTGGTAGTGCGATGCACTGGCACATTGTTAGCTAATTAAGTTATTAATAAATTTACGCCAAAAGATTAAAAAAGTGTTGAAAACATCCGTAAACTCTCTTCTTTGGTAATTTTCACACACACATTTCTTGATTTTTAGTCATTTTCAAACACACATGTCTTGATTTTGTTTAGATTCAAAGAAAAATTTGTTGCTAGTGAGTATTAACATCCCAGTATTGATATCATATTAAAAACAAGTCTGTGCTGCACATATGGTACTTGCATCAATTCTCATCTGTTAAAGCACAGTACTTGAAAAGAGAAACTGATAATAGAAAAAATCGAATAGTGACAAAAATTACAATTTAGATTTTAATTTAATATATTGAAAATTCTCATGACAATATTAACAAATTTTGGCAAACGATATGTTGTAATTTTTCACATTTAAAGTGAAAGATATCCTTTACAGCAGATTATAGAAGATTTTATAAAACATCGCAAGGAAGAAGGGTAACATATGCTGATTATAGTCCACATTGCAAAATGTTTTCTCTAATAAAATTATTATAATTATAATGTGAATCAACGAAAAAGTTTTTAAGTCTACTCTCTACGTAATTGTTTTAATTTTCGAAAATTGTAATTAAGATTAGATACGAATTTTTTTGGGAAAAAAAATTCATTGTTTTCTTTTTTTAATTATTTTGGGTTAATTTTGGATTTGATGACAAGTTTATGAAAAAGGGCAATATTAATTGCAAATTCCTACGCTTGCTCATTGTTTCATTCAAGTAATTGTAATCATTATTATTCGCGTTTAAAAGTTTTGATTGGCTTGAATGTTTACAAGCTAGTAGACATGCAAGCAACGATGAGAAACGATCCAAAAAACCATTCATACGGATAGAAACATTTCTTTTACAAAATGCATGGCTTTATTAAAAAGATTTTCGAGAAAAGTTTTCTGATTATGTCTTTTGCTAAAAGAGAGCTAAAGACGAAAAGGAGATGGGGTTTACTTCAGGCAAGTGTAGGTAAAGGGTTCTTAACACATACATGAATATTATTGCTTTGCATATTTCATCATGGTTCACTCTCGTACATGCGATAAGGTTTTGATAAATGAAAGCTGCGTACAAGCGTAGCATAAAGTCTGTCCGTGACCTCAAAAATATATACCGAACCGATTTAGTCACGTCTGTTAGCCAGTTCAACTATTGAAATCAGCAACGTAAGATAGTGAAGAGAAATAAATGTGGTTACGAAATTCAAACCGAACCATTTCCAATAGCATACGTCCTTGGGCTAAAGATTTCCTTAAAATATTGCAAAAATTACAACCAGCAAGACAGACAGATGAACAGACTATCTAACTCATTAAGTATTTGTATCCATCGATTCTTAAATTAAGAGCGTTACGAGTTTTAAGCAATTTTACATAGCGAATTTAAGATGTCTTTAGCAGTTGAAAAGAACGCATACACCAGAAAAAAATCATCTTTGAATGCAAATTTGTACTATTAGGTTCGCTCGAGAAGATATGGGAATATTGACGAAAAATTTTAGATCTTTGTCTTATCCAATGTACTTGTCTATTTGGTATTGTAACCGCGCAATGTGTTCCGCGCTTGTTTTGAAGAATACATTATTTCGGTTTCTGATATTTTGTTGCAAACGAGTTGCAGTATTAAATGAAATTTTAAGTTTGATTTTCTTTCCTAAAATCGTATACTACTTAGAAGCAAAATTGTAGGCCCAAATTTGAAAATTAATTTAGTTTCCTAAATTTCTAGCCATGGCTGTGTGTATCGCAATCATTGGGAAAGATGTAAATATTCCTTTGGTCAATTACGTTTGAATGAAAACTTGTAAAGTTTAAATTTCAGAACGCTCCCCTCTACATCTCTATTGCTAATATTGACAAAGAACTTGATATGCAATACAGAGTGCACGCGGCACTAGATGTTGTGGAAGAGAAATGTCAATTTATAAATAAAGCGACTCCCGAATCTAAAGAATTGTATTTGGGTATGTTATATTCCACAGAAGCGCATAAAATGTAAGCATATTTGAATTGACATTTATTCTAAATATTTTATTCTAAATATTTCGTTTCCGTTACTTTACTAGCTACGGCTTCATAACTAATACCAAGATCAAATTTATTTTAGTTATGGATTCCGAGAATGTAGCTCTCAGAGAAAATGAAGTGCGAGCGGTAAGTAAGTATATGTAATAGATTAGAATCCCATATCACCACAATAATTCGATATTTAAGAAATTTTTCTTAAGTATAGCGATCTATAAATATATAAATGTTCTCATAACATAAAAATAAAAAAAAATCGGAAAAAAAGGTTTAATGGAATATTTTGGAAAAAAATGGCAAATATTTCTTAAAGCGAGGTGTGTTTGTGTGTGCGTTTGCCACAACTAACAAAATACTTCATTTGTTTTTTATTCATATTTATTATATTTATTAGTGAGTGTCAAATATCTGCCGTAAGGAAATCAAGAATTTCTTACTTGTTACTATTAATTCAATTAAAACAGAAAAAAAGGAATCACGACCGACCTGTCCTATATGTTAGGTCACCTAAAAAGTGTTAAGCTTAATAATATAAATTATTAACGGTTGAACTCTTAAGTACATATTTATGCACTATTAATTTGTAGTGGTGATAAATAGGGTGTTTGCGGCTGTTGAGCTAAATTTAATAGTTTGCAAAAAAAAAAGAAGAAAATACATAGTAACACATTTTCTTTTTTAATTCAAAGATGTTTCGGAATTTACATATACTCTATACTGACGTCGTATGCAATCCCATTTTCTTGCCCGGAGAGCCTATAATTTCAAGGTAACTAATAAAGTGTGTAATATGGATTCCAATTTCTAGAGTGAAGAGCACCCTTATTCTAGAAAATTCGATCGTGCTGTACAAAAACTAATGAGTGGAAATACATGAATTGCTTGGAGGTTTATACACATCCACTTAAAGAAAAAAGATTAACAACAGTTCCAAATTCAAATTAAATGACTGTTGAACGTCCAATAATTAACTAATTTATAATTTCTGAGAATAAACTAAAAAAATTTTTAAGTTTTAAGGAATAATATGTGAATAATGGAACTTATTTTCAGCGAATTTGTGCCATCCATTGACAGACGGTTTGTTGAGTTTAAGGGTTTTGTAGTGCCTTCGATAAAATGTGTTTCGTTGTCATTTATAAAACTTTCTGGTTGATTTCGACTGTCTTTCCAGTTGTCAGCATATATATGTACATATAAAATGGTGTGTGTTTATGTAAGAATATATTCATAATATTATTTTATCGTGCAGCCATATTATTGAAATACTGTTTAAATGCACATATTTGTTTCCCCGCTTTCGATAATATTACACACGCGATAATGAAAGCACTAAAGCAATTAATTATTTTATAACTTCATTCGAAAATGAATTGTTTTTTATTTATCAAACCAATAATACAAAACATTTATTGCACTTATGAGAGTCTTTCGGACACTAGTAATTATTTATTGAACGTCCGCTTTAATTAGAAATCAATTAAATAAAGAATAACTTTTCGTTTTACTAAAGGGCACTTTTGTGTGTACCGCCAAGAAAAAGAAATAAACAAAAAACTATAATAAAAAAATTTTTTGTTTTCACTTTCTTTAGAGATTTTCGTTAATTTAACTTAAAAATAAAAAAAATAATAATAAAAAATGGAATAGTAATTAGAAAGTCCAACTTTCGTATGTTGCTACCCAGTCAGTAAGAGTCGAGTAATCGGGCAAGCTATTAACAAACTCTTGATATTTCTTGGGACGCATTTTTTCGGCATGTGTCCAATGGCCTCCTATTCCGATTTCTAAAATGGGCTTACCAAGTGTCTTCAGAGTTTTCTGAAACAGATAAAAAATAAAAATGTTGAAATGTATGTTTTTGTCATTGTGGTTTAAATACATGTTAGATTGAATCCACCTTTATGTTGTTATTGCATGTATAAGTTCTTAAGTAACAACCAGCGTTATTGCTTTTTACAAAGAAAAAAATTTGAATACTCTATGTTGTCATTTTTGTGTGTTTTTAATGTAAATCCATCTACAATTATGTGGATTTCAAACTACGTTTCATTGTTTCCAATACATACCTCAACAAGGATTGTGAATTTTAAAGGTCTACCGGTTTTGCCCCATGAGAAATATATAAAGTAAGGTGGTTGCCAGTTTTCTCTTATCATTGTTTCATTAAAAGACCAGTCGATTATTCGTCCTTGATCGGTGAGATCTATAAATATGGTCATGTGATCAGGGCCATTCAATTCAAATTCGTAATTTATTTGAAATGGGTCAACAAGTTGGTTTGAAGATAACAAAACGAGCATCGGAGCTTCTTCTGGTATATAAGGGTCCTCTTCGACCGGTATCCAAAAGCTAAAATCTCTAAAATAAAATGTTCAGAATTAGAATGAATATAAAAACTTTCAAATATATGTAAACCTGCCTAGCCTTGTACCATCGATGATTATAAAAAGGCATCCCACACAACATTTCTTTAGCGCAATAGTCGCTTACCAAGTGTTTTTGACCAATTGATTTAGTATTCTCTGAAATAAAAATGATAATTTTGAAAGTTAGAACTCATTATTGGGCTAATGTTTCTACCATTCAAGATTTTTACGTTCCGATCTTGAGGAAACACATATATGCCAGATTCTTTCACACGCGTTGTTTTGTCTGCATCGTGGATTATACGATGCGCATGCTAGAAATGTAGGTAGGTAAGAATTAAAGGAGTGAAAATTCGTGTTGGAAATTTTCACTCACAATCAACGCATATCTTTGAGAGGCTGTTTTAGCTCTATAAGGAAATCCCAAAGGAGTAAGTGCGATTATTATAAATAGGAATGTCACAATCAAGAACATACTAAACAAGACACGAACTTTTCGGAAAAATAGTAACAGTGGTATCTGCAAAAACAGGGCTTCTTCTTTTGGCTAAACGTAAAAGAATTAAAGTATTTTACTTACAATAAATCCTGCAAACAGTATAGTAACGAAAATTGCAATTCCACACATGAATATCTCTGGATTTGAAGACAACCCCGAACGTCCTGCCATTGGTACCATTGCATCGTAAATAATGTGAGTTAATGAGGTGTAATAGAGAAAAGGCAAAATTTGACAAACCATCATAATTAAACCAAACCGGTAAACACTTCGATAACATTTAGCTGTTAAATGTATTATAAGCGCTAATGTATAGAAGAGCACGGCCATCATAAACAAATATGCCGAACGAATTCTGAAATATGTGAGGAAAATGGTAACGGCTACCAAGAATAAGCAGTGAGAATGCATTAAGAGTTGAATGCGAAAACCCAAAAATAATCTGTCCTAAAACATATATCAAAATATTGAAAAATTTTACTTTCTAACAAAGATGCTTTTATACCTTGCGCGATTTTTCCAAATAACAAGCAGGTAGCATCCCCATTCCAAAAAATAAAGGACAAAAATAAAGTCCCATGAACATCCATTTTTGGGAGTACCAGCTCATTGCACTGCCTATTGCATCCATAAAAAGTGCATTAAGAAGCGCTAACCCACCTCCAACCGCTAAAGCTACTACTTGAACAGCAAAGCTGGCGCCAAAACTCGAAAATATAGACTTCAGCGATATGGCAGAATCAGCAGCCATTGTATATAGAGATATTCCTATTGCAATTATCGCAATGACACATACGCTAATATTTATGATTATTCCAACACTTTCGGTATAAAATATAATGAAGTTTCCAAGAAAATCAAAAAATACAACGTGACCGTCAGAGTGTTGCTAAAATGTGACGATACGTCGTTATCCCTCCGTAAAAGCATTTTTCGTTGGCTTTTACTTACCATGATATCGTTTAATTCCTGAGCATTCGCTAGACATTTAGCCAAAGTGAGAACATTGTCACCAGTATGCTGTAGAGAACCTTTAGATAGAACATTTATCTTATCGTGTTCAGTGTGATAAACATAACCGTTAGAAATGAAGGCCATATCGTAACCTGAGTAAATGGCGATAGTTGACATGGGAAAGGTCGATAGTTGAGATGCGATTGGAATTATTTTAAATTTTATTTACCAGGCACTCCGCCGAAGTCTCGAAATATACGAAAATCCGTGTCCGAAGGTATTAAACCTGCCTGAAAGATTTCCTCAGCCGAGCAAGTGGCAAACGGATGCGGTACTTGACGATAATATTTCATAAGCCAAGAATGTTGCGGGCCTGATTGAAACAAAATTTCTCGACCACCGTTGCCCGCAGCATCTAAGTTAATAAGAGCTCTATATGAGCAGTTGAATAAACAAGTTTATTAATAGATAGACGACAATAAATGAAGTTGACTAACTTGCAATTTTTCGCCCATTTATGTTGTGTTATAAAAGCATGCGATGCTTGCAAAGGATTTTCTTCCGCTCCGTTAAATAAAAATACAATGGGATGCTCCAAAGGACCTTTAGACTTGCATATCACTCGCATTACTTCCAACATAATGGCTACCATAGAGCCGTCATCTCCTGCCCCGGGACTACTAGGTACCGTGTCATAATGGCTGTTTATAAGAACATAATTCCCACTACTTGAATTTTTTGCACTTAGTTTTACTATTACATTCTGAATCGATTGATACATGTTGATCATGGACCAATGAACGTAATTCCCCGTAGCCTCTTGGATGTCAATTTCAAATTTGAAATAATCACTACTTTCCGTTCGAATTTTTTCAATTTCATTTAACAAAAATTTTAGAACTGTCACCTCGTTCGCAACGCTTCCAACTACGCGTGGACCAATACTTGTTAAACCAATTAATGTTATTTCAGCTCTTTCGGCTATAAATGATTCGGGATTAATGTGTTCATCTACGCGATAAAGAGGCTTAGGCAGCCTGTCCACCTGGGATCTTACTATAGATAAATAAAGTACTGCCCAAAAAGCGATAAAAAATGGAGCATATTTCAAACTGATATGAATAGCATCCTTTTTTTTGAGATCAAAAACTCTTCTTGATTTTGGCTAAAAAAAAGAAAAAAACGGAAGGAAAATGAATGTACTATCTGTATACTGTAAGTTTTGAACATGGACTTAAAAAAAATCTGCTATGAGATAAGCGCCTGTTTGCATTTCTTATAAATGTGGACTAGCTGCAGTTGCTCCTTGCCTTGAAAAACAATGATTAGATGAAAAACTAAGGGCTTTTGAATAAGTTTACAAAACCAACAAATGCGGCACACTTTTTGATCCTTTCGCAGTAAAATTAAGCAAAAATTAGCATCATAATCGATAACATCAAATCGATGATCATTGTATAGAGGGGAACAACAATTTTTGACTATAAAGCAAATCTCAAAAAGGTTTTTATCTTAAAAAATATATAAAACGTTTTACAGCGCTTATGGAACATAAAAGATAACTTCCATTTTTGTTAATTACCAACACCCGCAGTCCACACACACTAAAAAGAAGTTATAAACAGTTTATTAGCCCATTCGGGGTTTCGCCTCAACAGTTTAACAAATTTTTTTTTTTCGATTATTGCAGTGGCAAGGAACACTTGCTTATCTTTGTGCTTCTTTGGTATCTTGGAGCAAAAATGAGAGCATATGATGTCTCCGATATTGAGTACGTACCTCCGAAACAAACATTTCGTCCTCTTTTTCACTTCTGTTCCAAATATTTAAATCCCGGCGTTTCCTTGACCGTAGAAATGAGTTGAAGTTAAAAGGTGCTTTATCCGATTGCATCGCTTGTATTATAGTATTTCGCTTTAAATAGTTATTTAATTTATCTAAATCAGAGAAGGCCAAACTTTTTTTTCTTTCGCAAGTTATTGTTCCCGTTTATCACTTATATCTCCAAGACATTCGTGCAATGACGTATAAAGGCAGAAAGAAATAAGCAAGGTAGCTTGACACGAGTTTTGAATACCCAATATCTTAAGCAGTAATCACAAATACTAATTTCGAATTTTTTTAAATTAACTATTTAGATAACTCTAACAAATATTTCAAATCTACGTTTGTCTGTTGCGGAGAATTGGAGAAGAATCTTAAAGTTATTATAGTTTTTTTCAAGCTTCATTCACATGATTATTGTTATTATTGTTATTAGACTTTTTATATCAACATTTTCTAGTTAACTTTTCCATTTGCCTGCTTTTGTGATTTTGAGAATGGAATAAGAAACGGACAATAGATCCAATATGCACTCAGATTTCGTTTCGCTGCACACAAAGTGTCACTTTTCTCTCCTGTAAAGCAACAAGCGATTTCATTTATTCAATAGGCAATAGTGAGTTATAGTGCACCCGCAGATTGTGTAAAAAAGAAGAAGAAAAAGTCTTGCATTTTGCCGGTTTGAGCATTGTAGCTTTTACTTTTCATGCGTCAAAATACGTGTTTATGTTGCGCTTATGTGCTTCGCTATAGCAATACGCGTAGACGGTCATTTATTTTTTTGCTATACGGCTTTCATTGACAGACAAAATATTAGAATTTTGCTGACGCGAAAATGTTAATTATTTATCTAAGCAAAATTAAATCATCTGACAGATTTCTCATGCGCCATATGATTTTAGTTCATTATAAAAATGCAATCTATATGCTTTAGTGTCTCAACGCATTGCGTCACTGCAGTATGCAATAATGCTCGATGCGTATACACGGGGTGAATTTAGACGAGTATTCACTTATGAAAAATTTAGCTCTCGCTTCCGTATTCAGCTATTTTTGCTTAACAGCTGAATACGAAAATGAAGGCTAACACTCAAACACGTGATTAAACCCAGCCTTAAGCTGTTAACTGTTAAAGCAACAGTATGGAAATAAATTTACCATCACGGCAATTTAGATTTTAATTTAAGATATTCAAAATTTTCATGACAATATTAACAAGTTTTGGGAAACGATATGTTTTAATTTTTCACATTTAAAGTGAAAGATATCCTTTACAGTAGATTACAGAAGATTTTATAAAACAACGCAAGGGAGAAGGGTAACATATGCTGATTATGGTCCACATTGCAAAATGGTTTCTCCAAGTTTACTCTCTACGTAATTGTTTTAATTTTCGAAAATTGTAATTAAGATTAGATACGAATTTTTTTTGGGAAAAAAAATTCATTGTTTTCTTTTTTTAATTATTTTGGGGTAATTTTGGATTTGATGACAAGTTTATGAAAAAGGGCAATATTAATTGCAAATTCCTACGCTTGCTCATTGTTTCATTCAAGTAATTGTAATCATTATTAACTTGTCATTAAAAGGTTAAGTACATAATATTTGTTGGTATATCATAAAATGCGATGATAATATTAGCTTAAAGATTGTTCATTTGTAAAAAATGTCAGTGAGTCCTTCATTGAAAATTAAGCGGAAATTAATTATCAAGAGAATTCTTCTAGGTATTTTGAATTATTCAAAGGTCCACTATGGACGCTTAGGTTTCATTAAAAAGAAGATCGACTCTAAAAGGTTTACAATAAAAATGTGTTATAAATTAGTGAAATTTTTGGACTATCACTGACAATGAGAGTGCTCACAAAAACGTATAAACTAATAGTTTGAGATTCATCCAAAGACTGCCAAGAGTTTCAGTTAAACGGGAAATGACTTCAATTACTCTTGGCTAAGGCGTTCATACAAATAATCTTTGGGAAACTACTTTCCGATATCGCAAAACGTAAAAATTGAATAAAAACCTTATCAATGATATCTACGCGTTTAAAAGTTTTGATTGGCTTGAATGTTTACAAGCTAGTAGACATGCAAGCAACGATGAGAAACGATCCAAAAAACCATTCATACGGATAGAAACATTTCTTTTACAAAATGCATGGCTTTATTAAAAAGATTTTCGAGAAAAGTTTTCTGATTATGTCCTTTGCTAAAAGAGAGCTAAAGACGAAAAGGAGATGGGGTTTACTTCAGGCAAGTGTAGGTAAAGAGTTCTTAACACATACATGAATATTTTTGCTTTGCATATTTCATCATGGTTCACTCTCGTACATGCGATAAGGTTTTGATAAATGAAAGCTGCGTACAAGCGTAGCATAAAGTCTGTCCGTGACCTCAAAAATATATACCGAACCGATTTAGTCACGTCTGTTAGCCAGTTCAACTATTGAAATCAGCAACGTAAGATAGTGAAGAGAAATAAATGTGGTTACGAAATTCAAACCGAACCATTTCCAATAGCATACGTCCTTGGGCTAAAGATTTCCTTAAAATATTGCAAAAATTACAACCAGCAAGACAGACAGATGAACAGACTCTCTAACTCATTAAGTATTTGTATCCATCGATTCTTAAATTAAGAGCGTTACGAGTTTTAAGCAATTTTACATAGCGAATTTAAGATGTCTTTAGCAGTTGAAAAGAACGCTTACACCATAAAAATTCATCTTTGAATGCAAATTTGTACTATTAGGTTCGCTCGAGAAGATATGGGAATATTGACGAAAAATTTTAGCTCTTTCTCTTATCCGATGTACTTGTCTGTTTGCTATTGTAACTTCGCAACGTGTTCCGCGCTTGTTTTAAAGAATACATTATTTCGGGTTCTGATATTTTGTTGCATACGTTAGTCGAGTTGTAGTATGAAATTTTTATATATGAAATTTTGAATTTGATTTTCTTTCCTAAAATCTTTTTCAAAGATTTTGAAGAATTTCGAGTTAAAAGATGATAATTAATTATGCCGCATGCACGTATTTTCATTACTCATAATCGCAGGAAAAAAACTTAATTAACCGTTTGAGTGTTCAATTATTTCACTCAAAATTTTGTATCTATGTGAGGTGCATTCATTCTCTTTTTGTGATCGTTGGTGTATTTATTTATATTTTTAAGTCTTTATATGTTGTGTGACGGTAGATGCGAAAGCACATTAAGGGCTTACGCGGCGTTAAAGCATTTTCACTTCTTGGACGGTATAACATAAACGCGCTGCCCGGTCTCGTTGTTTTGCGATAATTCGGTATATTAATCGTTATTGCTGCTGTAAAATATTATTTAAGAAAGTGTTAAGTGACAACGGTTAAAAAGCAAAGCAATAAAGAAATGTAGGAAAAGTGTTAAAAGTCAATCTCTCAATCAAACAATCAAAGAAAGCCCTTTCACTTCGGATGAAATTAAAAGATCATAAACAGATGGACAACAAATAAATTATCTATCAGTCAGCGGATAGCTTGGTGTAAAAATTATTTCTTTTCAATACATATGCAATTACGGACGCCTTGATTGAGTCAAAACATTTATCTTTAATCCTATTAATCATTTTTAGGTTTTTTCCGTTTTTTATTTTAAATATATAAATAATTAACGTCGAGAGATTCGCTTTACACTTCATAATTCCCTGAGCATTTATTTCTGTTTTCTCTTTACAAAAATAGCAACGATTGGCTCGTTTTTATGCGTTTCTGGGATTCTGAATTCAAAATTGTTTTTATTTTGCTCAGTTGATTTTAAAATATCTGCTTGAACTATATTAAATGAAATGCAAATGCAAACCTATGCGTATGAGTAGACATTGATTGTTTGAGTTAATTTCTACGTTTTTTATTTGTTTATCTCGTTTTTCTTTTTACTTTATATATTTGCTTGATTCATAATGACGCGGAAGAATACTATGCTTATGGCGAACCGGACTATTTTCTACTTTTCGAGCAATCTTTATCATATGTTTTTGCATGTCAGCATGTCGGCTGCCATTACCTGCAATTTCTACACAAGGAGAACTTCGCAATCTTCGCAAGCCTGAAAAGTCGCTTTTTCTGTTGTTCTTCTTTATGCTATTTCGTTTTGTCTCCAATTTCAACAATTATTATTGCTAGTCTCGTCCGTTATTGCAGCAGACTCCACCGCCGCCAGTTGTAAATGCTTATTGTATTAAATAGAAAAACTGACCCCGGGATTGTGGATATTCGGCTGTTCTGTTAATATTAATGTATATGGTTGTATGGGTGGAACTAGACCAGATAATTTGAAGGGTAAGGTTTTTGAGGTGGTCCGTTTCCCTACCAACCATAATATAAGTTAGACAATTCTTCCTCCTACATCTTTCGAACAGCCGTTCGAAATCCCTCGGATTCCTTTGGTTTTTATATAATCTGCATTCGTGTTTGTTTGTATATGAAATGATATCCAATGTTCAAAGTCGAACGTTTTGAAAATTGTGCAAGTAATATTTTAGTTTAATATGGGTTCGGTGACTTATTACGATTTGAGTAATTCACTGGAGATTAGTTAAAATTGTGGGAGACACATCTTCTTAATTTGAAACGAAAGAAATTAATTCAAGCCAAACACATTATATACGTACATAGACCATATGTTGATTACATCCGATAGGAAAGCGTATATTTGTTTGTTTGCGAGTGTATTGTTTATATTTATAACAACAACAAAAAAATAAAAAATAAAATTAAAAATAGTTGAGCATGTCTTTCCTTCTTTCCTTTTTCCATGTAAGAGCTCAGAATGAAATCTAAATATGAAACTATGAAAGTGATTTATTATCGCAGCAAATTAGATTGGTATTGGGCTCCCGTCTTCGTCGCTTTTTGGTTCCTTCTCTTTTATATTGTTGTTATACACAGTTTCAATAATTTCCCCGAGAATATCATGATTGCCGAAGAGATGAATAACACTGATCGATTTATAGGGGAACGAGCTGAAAATCTTCTCATGAGACTATCAAAAATTGGACCTAAGGTAGTTGGCAGTCCGGCTAACGAACAATCAGCTGTACAATTCCTTTTAAATGAACTATCAAAAATTAGAGAAGATGCGCGCCATGACATATACATCATACAAGAAGACGTTCAAATTGCGTCAGGTAACTATGTTCTATGGGAAATGGTGAATATTTATCAAAGTATACAAAATGTGGTGGTGAAGGTTACGCCCAGAAATTCGGAAAGTACTTCATCTATTTTGCTTAACAGTCACTATGATACGGTTCCCGGGAGCTCAGGTGCTGGTGATTCGGGATTAATGATAGCAGTTATGTTAGAAACTTTAAGAGTGATTACAAAGCGTGAAACAAATCTAAAACATTCGATTGTTTTTCTTTTTAATGGAGCCGAAGAAAATCCTCTACAAGGTTCTCATGCTTTCATTACGCAGCATGAATGGGCTGCTAATGTTAAGTAAGTAAAATTATTTATGCATATACATAATATACGTGCGTATAACGTGAAGAATCTTCCAACACGAGCTGTTATTTCAAATATCGCGCCATGTAAGAAATGCGAAATTACTATTTATATTGCTATTTCTATGTTAATATGGCCCCTGCAGGTGTGTCACCTGCTTAATCGGCAAGTGTTGCCTTTGCCTTTACGGTCATTGCGATGATATTTAAATTAAAAATTAAAAAAGTAAAAAAGTTAAGTAAAAATTAAGAGGTTTTTTATCTGCTTTGCTGCAAACCGCACTGTGCCATCTTGAGCTCCAAAGATCGAAGAGAAAAATGTCCAATCAGAACAGTATTTAAAAACTACTGCTAGCTCATTATAATAGTTGGATGCGCCAAGTGACGATGTTGACCAACTTTTTTGACATGATTTTGATGTTCCGCATATTGGTAAAACAGTCTCACTTGTTGTGCAGCTCCTGAAAGAATGTTGAAAGATCCTATCTTAATATTTATTCTTTGTCTTCAAAAATAATGTATATTATGTGTATATTCGTTAAAGAGCCAATGAACTGGATTTTATACTTATTTGCTAAGCATCGTATTCTTGATTTATTTAGCATTGAATACTTCCGTCCGTTTGCATATGTATTATTGACTCGTCCAATGGCACACCCACAACTGCTAAAGGTCCAAATATGTTTTAAAAATAATTTACTATATTGGTTAGACGTGCATTTAAAAACGGGCATAATTATTTGTCCGGGTGAATCAAAGATTGATTCAGTCAGACGATGAAAGCGTCCACATTTAATGAAACGAAACCCCACAACAAGCTCGAGTTTGTGCGAATCTTTGGTGCGAAAGTATGAATACTTGTAGTGGGTCGTTTTTTTGGCTCGATATAGTCATCGTTGTCCTCTCTGTTGTCCTCTAGACAGACGATCATAGTGGTTATATTCTTGATCGGCATTATATTCTAAATTAATTTAAGGATGTCCGTCCGTCCTGCTGGCCGTAAAGTGCATACTTCTCTTTTTCAAAAGGAATAAAAATTAATTTTTAATTATAACTCATAAACTGCAGCAGATGAATCTATAAAAATTTGAATGTCTATTCTGTTCCTGTGCAAAAATGGGAAAAATTGACCGCGTCTATCCAATATTATGGAGTACCGAAGTTTAATTTTTTTTTTCAATAATCTTAGTACGCTCATAAAAAAGTCACAAAAATCCCATAAAGTATATAAAATCTTTGTCAGTTTCAAATCCGGAATTTACTGAATTCCGTTTGTCAATCTGCCCAGCTACGTAGTACATGCGGCAAACATTTTCCCGTTCGCAAAAATGAAGATATCGCCGATACAGTTGCAAAAGGAACTGGAAACAATCTAAACCGGTCAAAGGTCACGCCTACAGAGTCCACATGCCCACGCAACAATAACTATGAAAACCTTTGCTTTCAGCGTTTTTTGCTTGTTGTTCATAAGGTACAACACATACATCATACAAATTTCCACTTTTATTTTGAAAATGAAAAAATAAGCCGTACTCATCCAATGTTAAAAAGTATGAAAATTCAGTTTTTTTGCTTTTTGTAATCTTTTTGAGAATAAAGGTGATGGGTATAAAAGATTCGGTCATGGCCGAATATAATATTCTTATTTGTTTTGAATTGTTTCTTTCCATTTATATAGAGCTGTTATTAACTTAGATTCAGCTGGATCGGGCGGACGTGAAATTTTATTTCAATCCGGTCCCGGCCATCCGTGGCTAATGAAATACTACGGTGCGCATATTGTGCATCCCTATGCTTCAACTATTGCTGAAGAACTATTTCAAAATGGATTTGTGCCCTCAGAGACCGATTATCGCATTTTCCGAGACTTTGGCCATATTCCGGGCCTAGATATGGCGCATTCCTTTAACGGTTTTGTTTATCATACCAAATATGATCGTTTTACTACCATACCAAGAAGAACGTATCAAAGAACAGGCGATAATGTGCTTGCTTTAACCAAAGCTCTGGCTAATGCAGTCGAGTTAGAAGATCCGTCGGTAAGATGAGTTTCGCACAAATTAATGAAAAGCGAATAAATGAATCTATTGCAGAAATATGCTGAGGGAAATATCGTCTTCTATGATATTCTAGGATGGTTTATCATATATTACTCGGATCAAACTGGTGTTATAATAAATATTACGGTTTCAGTGCTTTTTCTGCTAACCTTAATGATTTACATATGGAATATGGCTAATCAAACAGGAATGTTTCGGCGCAGAATACTTCTGAAGTTTATTACAATTTTTGGCATTCAATTCGTTACTATAAATTGCGCTTTACTAATGACTGTAATAATAGCTATTTTTTTGGATGCAATTGGTGCGCCTATGTCATGGTTTTCGAAACCATGGATGATATTTGGCCTTTATTTTTGCCCAATATTTTTTATCTTGGGCATTCTGCCCTCTATCTATCTTAGCCATATCAAGGACTATGGGCTACCATTAGCTTATTCTATTCAACTTCTTATGCACAGCCATTGTTTGCTACTCACACTCTTGACGATTGCTATGGTTTCCTTAGGTATACGTTCTGCGTTTTTAATAATGCTTGGCGTCGCGTTTTACACTTTATCGGTCATCTTAAATATTACTGCACGCTTCCATAAAACAAGTAAGTAAATTTATCACGACGAGCTATGATGAAAAAGCAAAGAGAATTTTCGATTTTCTTAAAAATAAATCTTAAATATTTCTCTTTAAGGAAGACTTCCTTTTCACTTTTGCTAATTCAGTATTCTGTTGTAGAAATTACTTCTTTGTTTTTTCTATTGCTAAAGCCGGTATAGGTTGTTTCAAAAAAAAATTTAAGAAAACATCATACATAAGAATAAGGCTCGATAAAGAAGTTGAATTTCTCTTAAAATATTAGAAAATGTTCCAGTAAAACCTGCTTCATTCGTCTTACTCCAAAAAAAATAAATAAATACATTGCTGTCACTGTGGTGAACTCTCTGTTGATGTTATTTTTTCTTGATACCTACTATCGAAGACAGATGGCACATAACTTTGTCATTTCGTAACACTCCGAACGAATATTCAAAGACTCCAATTCTGAATGGATTTAATCATGCCCGTCCATCTGTCGTAACCATTATCTTGGCCACAAAATTAAGCGACCGGCTTCAAATTTGCAAACGGATTGGTAAGTGCTCAAAATAGTCCAAATCAGTCGAAGAATTCGCTTACGATATCACGTAAATTGAGAACACCTCTGTTTTTCGCAAAAGTACGGCAGATAAACCTAAAAAAATTTGAGCAGAAAGCATATATATTTTTCATCCTGAATCGATTTAAGCATGTCCGTCTACCCAACTTCGTATTATCTACTCTAAGCAACACTCTCCTGGCCGCAAAAATAAAGCTTTCGTCTTCAAACTTAGGAGAAACATTGGAAGTTCTTGCTCGCAAATTGTTATTGAAAGTGGGCCAAATCGGTATAAGCACACGTCTATAATTCTACGTAAAGTGAGGATACTTGCGTATTTCAAAAGAAGAACATGGCCTATTACTCACAAACCGAGGCAGTATACTATCCGCGGTAAACGCTATCCCGTTTGCAAAAGTGAAGATATCGCCTATAAAACTAACTCAAACCGATCGAAGGACCAACTTACAGCTCCCACATCCCTTTTCAACAAAAACTGTGAAGACCTTTGTTTTTCATCTTTGTTGCCCGTTGCAGATACAAATTACCAATTTCATTCAAGAGTACAAATAATTACTACGCTCGCTTAATATTATTGAGTACAGAAATCTATTTTTTCTTTCAGTTAACGTGGTGGGTGTAAAAGATTGGATCACAGCCCCGAGCCTCGGTCCTTTGTGTTTGGAAAGTTGAATTTCTTTGTACTAGGCCGTTGAGATATCAGTCCTATGAGTCCAGCTAGTTCATTATTAATATAACCCCGCTGAGTATATGGTATCAAAAATAAACAAAAATTTTATTTCAAGGTGAACTAGTTTCGTTAAAGGTCTCCTCACGTATTTGCAAATTTGCTTGAGGAATGTGTTGCGTTTCTTGATAAAGTAATTAACGATTCAAGGCGAACAATATGCAGAGACTAGTCAACTTTGGTCGGTTAATTCCTTGAAGTGAGCATCTTTTGCAAGCATTAAAAAAATCCCCCAAGTGCTTATCTCTACATATTGTAAATAAATTAAACAATGTTTTGATGTTTTTAAAACTACTTTCTGAATCGACTTAAGCTTGTATGTGCTTATGTTCGTCGTGTTTTCTTGTATTGAACCCACAGGCCGCAATTTGTAAAATATTTCGACGAAGCTTCGTACACTGATAACCTTTAACCCAAGGATGAACATTATTGAAGACAGTCCTGATCGAACCACTAGTTCGATCACTGCCCATATAACGCCTCGAGAGAGAGAGGTTTTCAAATGCTTTTCCCGATGTTAATTCCATCGAGACAATTAAAATATCACCACATACTAAAGAATGCGAACTCCTTTCGGATAATTTGGCTATGTACCTACTTCTGAGCCATGGCGCATTTTGATATTTGTATTTGTTTTTCTAAAAAAAACACGAATTTCTTTGATTTCTTTCATAAATAATGAGTAGGATACCCAGAACTCGCGCAATTTTCGACGTATGTTCCACTAACAGGCTCGTTGTAGTGGAATGTAATATACAGTAGTCCCAAAGAAGACACTTCAACATTTATGTAAGCTCTTAAGTTCCTAAGGAAAGTGGCGAATACGCAAAAGTACGTCTTCAGGATTCGTTTATCAAATACGAAACGAGAAAGAGAAGCATGCGGCCATAATCTGAAAATTCTCGTTGTTTTTTTAGCGTAAAGTAAACGTATTTTCGTATGAAGCAATTAAATTTCCCTTTCAGATTTCTTATGGCTCATTCCACATAATTTATGCCAAATTTCGCCGTTTTTGTTTTATACTTATATTTGTTATGCGTTCTATACAACTTTTATACCCATGGAAGGACGTGACGGCGCCAACAGAAATCCAGAACTTTTAATTGGCGGATTTACAGTAGTAATATGCTTTCTGTTCGCACCGTTTCTTGTAAATTTCGACCTTAGTTACTTACTTTCAGTTGTTTGCAGAAAAATGATGTTATTTTTGTCCTTTTATAGGTAAATCTTTTGAGTCTTGTCCGTAAGTCAAAAACTATTCTATCGTGTTTCGGAATTATTTGGATAATATTCATGGGTATAGCTGCTTCACCTATGGGTTTCCCATATGTGGAAAAAGAAGCGCCTCAGAGATTTTATGCGGTGGTAAGTTGTTGGTTTAAATTACTCATATACGCATATATTAAATTTAATTCAATTTTCCATGTAAGCACTCCTCGCGAACTTTCCATGACGATTCACCTGCGATGGTTGTAAAGTACGAAGATTTCGGATTTTATGTGGTTCCAGTGGATCGTCGCCCCCAATCGATTGATTTCATGTTTCAGGAAACGAATTTTACGAAATCGGATGCGAATTTCTGTGAAACAGAAATTATGTGTGGATTTCCAATATACAGCTCACGTTGGTTGGAGTGGCGGTATGTGTGACTAATAGAAAGCAAATGTTTCGACATATGTACGAAAATTATATGATAATTGTATAAGAGAGAATATGAAAGTAATATGAGTTAATCAGGGTGATTTAGGGAACTATTTCCATCTCTAAATGATAATACTACAGATATTTAGGGTCTCTTTACCTCAGAACTTTTTTTGGAATACTTTATGAGAAACACGCTGTTTTCATTACTTTGCTTCGGATTAAATTGAGATATTAGCCTTCTTGACGTTTTCATCTATAAAAAGCTACCATCACTAAAGCATGCGCGTTCTAAGAACATTTGCAACTTAATTAGATTTTATAACGAAAACTTGTGATGACCTTATCTCTATGGGTCTTACATTTCATTTTAAAGTATATGAGTTGCTTTAATAGTTTTCGAAAAATGCTTCACATCTTATATCTTTCTTTTATAATAAGTTGAAGAAAAATGTTGTGCCGTTTTCGCTAATAGGCGACTTTAGAATTGCGTAAAATTAATAATGGTAACCCTAGCGCTTACTTGGGAACCCAAACCGTTAAGTTTCAACCTGCAATCACTGACTTGGTGGTACTGATACTTGCTTATTCGATTGTTCCTGCGTTCACATAAAATATTAAAATGATGTTTTTGAATTTTGGTGAAAAAAATGCCACGCAAATGCTCTACTATATACCGCTCAGTTGTCAAATAACCTATTTAAAGTATATTCAGTTTTGTTATTTCGCCAACATAGTTTCTCGTATGATATCGTTTTCTGATTGTTATTACGCTTGTAAATAATGTGTATAAAGTATGCAATAGGTTGCGAAGGGTGACATTACATGTTGAATGAACAAATATTCACCTATTTGCTTATCATCTTTTGCGAGGACGTTAATAATCAAAAAGTTTCAATAAAAGCAGATATAAACTTTTTTTTTTTATATTAAGAAACCAAAGCTTTTGGGTGGAGGCATCACAACCTACTAAAATAGGCTGGGCTACATTAAAGATAATCTCAAAAGAGCAGACATCTTCGAAAACGATACTGTTCACTCTTGAAGTGGCCGGGCCCCATCATATCAGTATTTTTATACAACCAATGCATGGTGTCAAACTAATGGATTGGTCTTTTACGAAAATTCCTCTCGAACAAAATTTCACGGCACCATACTATTTATACTTTTCTTATGCATTGGATCCAACACCTTTAAGATTTCATTTGGAATTTAAGGTAATTTTAATATTTCTTGTTCATTTTTGTGGAAAAATTAAAAAAAAACCATTGAAATTAATGCAGTGGGAGACTGAAGATTGGTCTGGATCAACTTTTGCGATAGCTTTGATTGGTCATAAAGTTGATGACATCAACACCACTGATGACTTCAGAGAATTCCTAACGTCTTTTCCTGCTTGGGCACATGTAAGCGCATGGACAAGTTCATATGAAAGTTGGAAGCTTTAAATCTTCAGAATAACAATACTCAAAGAATGGAAATCAAAAAATTATCTATGAAATAACTTACTTGAATGAAACTGACAATAAAACAAAAAAAACAAAAAACACTTAACAAAAAGCATCGAGAATTTTACCTTTTCTTAGAAAGTGTTTAATCAGCCATTTCTTTCGGAATTGTCCCTTTTTATACCCGACACCACTTGTAGGGCAAAAGTATATTAAGTTGGCTTGAATGTGTACAACATATAGGACATGGGACGGATCTTCTTTCTATTACTATGCTTGTCCGACTGCCTTTCCACCTTTTATTTAACCTATAGGTTACAGTTTTGCAAAGGTTCTAGGGAAATTTGGTACACTAACGTGCTTTGGTCCAAGGACGAACGCTATGGGAAATGGTTCGGATAAAACTAGCTAAAAAAAGGATTTAAAAATTAAACGAAAATACATTATTACAAATACAAAATTAACCAGGGAAAAGTAAACCATGACATAGACATATTTATTCCATCCAGCACAACAGCCATGAGCAAATATAACACTGAAGCCACTATTACTGCCAATAATTGAGCGCCAGAAGTAAATGTGATATGTGTAATGAGCTCGTTTACAGTCAGATCAACTAGACTGGCTACTACTTTAGTATAATAAATACTGGCGGCCATAGATGCGAATGATATCGCAATATTTAATAAAGTACCTGTTAATCAATCCCTTTATGTCGTAGAATACAATATGGCCTGCAGCAAATTTCTGAACGAAAAAGAAACAAAATAAAGTAAATTTTAATTTTTGCTTGCTAAAAGTTGTGTAAGTTTGGCAACTCTATGCCCACGTTGTAGTCGCTTTTTAGTTTTTTGCAAGAAATATTTCAATTCCTTAGTGTACCTCTTAGCTTTTTTGGTTTATTCGCTTCTAAAGTATAAAAATCTTTAAAAGAATAAAGTGTATGATTTAATCTATATGAAATATAATAATCTTTTACGTGAAATTCAATTTAATTTTTTGCAATCAACAATTAGAGCTCTTAGGTCAACGAAAGTGAGAAGTTTCGTTTCTAACGAGTATTCTTTTCGGGGTATGATCAGGGCTACCCAGGAAGTCCCTTTCCAAAAAACTCTTGGACCTTCGTATTTTCATTAACTTATTTATTTATTGTTTACGGGAAATTTGATTATTTAAGGTATAAGGAAAGGAAAAAAAACCAGCGTGGTGATTCTCGACCAGACTCTTGCTCGTAATTGTTGTGTTTGAAATGATTTTCCGCGTTTCGTCCGTACCAAATACAGCAGCCAACTTTGGGCCAATAGGGCCACTCGTCCGTCCCTACCTATATTCTATTTGTTTTTATTGTCTCTAACCGTGTCAACGTCATTGAAGAGAGTACTCCATCAGTTGTTCGAGGATAACGGCTAAGCTAAACCAGCCACCAGCTATCCGTAACGTTCAGTAATCTTATCTGTTGCCCAGGTATGACGGCTAAGCCATCCGCTGTCTATGCAACAGAAATGAAAGAATGAGCGTATTGCGACACGCTCTTTTATAGTCGCGATCACCAACGCTGTCCTGTTACACAGATGCCCGGCATTATACAATACGTGTGTTACAATATCAATGCTTACTTGTGTATATGTTATAATGATGCTCTTATGTCTTATTGTATGTGTTAGTATGTGCTTAGCGCTTATAACTAAAACATATGATCAAACATGTCTAGGAGCCGTTAATTCCTATTTAACAAGAACAATTCAATGTGTTAGCTTTTGCATATTGAAGTAACTGTTAATATACAAGCATGACAACAACTGTAAATATCGAAAATTCGATACCATCAGACATGCGTTCATACGTATAGTATATTGAAGTGTGTATTAATTAAACAACAAAACATTTCATATACCATCCCATAATATGTATGCGATGGAATGTAACTTTATATATATGGGAATGAAATAAATTAGTGACCGTTAGTCCTTAAGTAATGAGAATAGTTCAATGAGCTAACTGTAGCTTATTAATAAGTAGAAGCAAAACAAGTATATAGGCGTATATGCTGTCTACTTATTAGCAGGCGTGTTGCTCAACGGATTGCAACACGTTTATAAAGAGAATTTTAATAATAAGGCATAAAAATAGGCATATATTTATACAAGCGTAAATGTATTCTTATAAGCCGACATACATGTTAGTAGACATAGAAAATAACAGAAGGAATATACGTACAAGGTATGCCGCATAGTCCTAATACAATAAACTTTTTTTTTCCACTGCGTTTCTTTCGACGACAACACAGCGAGTGCTTTTAGACTCTACGGGTGAGGGATATTTTGTACTCTGGGCGGACACTTATGCGGACGGATTTATTATTGATAAGAAAGCAAAACCCTTCCTTACAAGTTTAATTTGCTGACAATTTTTGTGTCGTGGAATCTTTTAGTTTTCTGTTCTTTTTTTCTCCATAATGTCCTTCTGTTTTGTTTTATTGGACATGGATTGTTTATTTACATCGTGTCATGGAAAACAGGGCCAGAATCTGAACGATTCATCTTGTGCTGGCTCTGCGAACATTCTTGCTATGCAAAATGTGCTGGTATGGCTGTGCTGCACGTGGATCCCTCTAAAGGATTACAATGGTCATGTGCTGACTGTAGGAAGCGGGGTGTTGATTTCTATAAACTCTTCACGGAGACGAGAAATAGTCTCTCAGTTTTGAGTTCCTTGTGTGATAAGTTTGAAAAAGTTAAGACTACGTTCGATGAGTGTCGTTATATTGAGCACTCATCTTCTTCTCCAACCGGTAAAATGACAACTCGTACCATGGCGTGTGTACCTCTCCTTCGAGTTCTCCCAAGTCTGATTTGTTGACTCAAGTTAGCGCTTCCGACAATGTCTACAATGAACGTTATCGTTTCTGGTATTGTTGAGTCGATCGCAAATAAGCTTGGAAGTCCTCCTAGTTTAAGCTTTGCTGAAGTGGCAAGGGTATCTCCTCCCAGTAACGTCACTCACTCTACTCAGGCGTCACCGGCTAAAATAATAAAGAAAATAATAAATCCACCTCTCCCCTGGCTGTTTGAGTATGCATTATGGTCACCATTTTGGGCAGGTCGCACAAGCTGGTTGTGTAAGTGTGGTTACTCCTTCTATATTCTCCCTAACTCAAAACACCCATCTGTGATCTCTCCCGTTCCTAGTAGAGATGATATTTGCTTGGCGGCAGTCTTTCCCAGAACGGCAATATTTGTGTCAAAACTGGCACTTGATACATCTGCGGATAACATAAAGCGTTATCTGGCGTCGAAAATCCCATCAGTCAATTTAAAGCGTGTTAGCATTTTCAAATTGGCACCATCTCAGTCTAGAGCAATCTCAACCTTTAAAGTGCTAGTTCAGGAACTCGTCCCTAGTGACCGACCCCGTAATACTACCCTTTCTCCCTCAAAACACTAAATGTTTCTTCAGGCTCATTAACTCTCATTTAACAAAATGTTATTGGACTAAATTCAAAAGTTCGTTCTACTTTCCTAAATTCAGTGAGCGCTTAGTTTTCATGTTTGGCGTTCACTGAAACTTGGTTAAAGCCTGATTTACATTCGCCGAAAGTTTTTCATAATTCGTTCCAGGTTTTCAGAAAGGGCCGATTGAATCGTATTGGTTGTGGCGTTTTAATTGTAATATGTTCGGCAGTTCCGTCCTATTAAATTGAATTCCCTCCTACTCCCGACTTTGAATTTATTGCCATTCGATCGAAAATTCCTAATAAACAGCTATATGTAACCTACTCCTATATTTCCCCAAATTCGGATATCTCCATATATAAGAAACAGGCTGTCTTCATTTGTGAAGTGGCCAAGCAGTCTAAGCGTTGGATGACTTCAATTTGCTTCAAGTCATTTGAGGTTAAAGTGACAATTCTGGCTGTTTGACTCCTACTTCAACATCTGACAGAGCTGTTTTGTTTTTTAACGAATTATTTTATCACAATTTAATCCTAATACGTCGCGGTCCACTTTTTAGTTTACCTGAGGGTACTTATCATCCAGCAATTTGTATTTCCTTTCATCAAAAGCATGATGGTTCGTTGAACTGTTTCAAATATTATGATTTCCATAAAATCAACATTTTGCCGCTAAAATCTCATGTGTCACATATTATGCTTGATTTCTCAGCTGGAAGTATTGAAAGTTTACTGTCATCGTTCTACAATCTATTAAATATAGCCATTTCTGAAGCCGTTCCGATCAAGCAGTGCCGACCTCGGAGCAGGTGTCGCCCGTGGTTTAATAAGACAATTAAATAATGCAAAGAATAGGAAAAACAAGCTTTTAAAAAAATTTTCGAAAATTGACTCTGCTTGCGACTATTTGGCTTGTTCAGCTGCAACGCATAGATTTAGTTTCCTCAACCACCAATATTGTTGCACACACCTTGAGTTTATAAAATCCTTACTGTTTGCTAATCTTAATCTTTTTCAAGTTTGTTAACTCCAAAAGAAAAATCTCCATAAATCCCTCGCTTGTCTCCTTCAATGGCTCTGAGTCCTCGGATGACTTTGAAACTTCCAATCTCTTTGCTGAATACTTTCGACGAAATTTTTCGACTGCCATTTCCGATTTAACTATAAACCACCCATATCGGATAACTAATTCTTAATTTGGTTATTTCAGAAAATGATGTTTTAGAGGGGTTAAACTCTCTAAAGTATAGTTGTGTGCCTGGACCTGATGGCATTCCGTCATGTGTAGTTAAATCATGCGCTGTTTTCCCTTTGTGTTGGAACAGTAGTCTCCTTATTCGTATTCACGAAAGTGAAAGTAGACAACTCGTTGAGAACTGCGGAGTGTCTTACCTAAACTATTCGAGCGAATTGTTACTCAGCATTTCGCATTTGCGATTTGTATATTTCTCCATTTTAACATGGCTTTCGAATAGGAAGATCTACTGTCATCAGTCTGTTAGAGTTTATTTGTCATGTTTTCAAGGCCTTTTCTAGCGGAAATTCACATTGATGGCTTATAAGGATCCTCAGGTAAACTAAAAGGTGGACAACGATTTACGTAAAGCTCGGGAAAATTGGCAAA